CATCTCTGTTTTCTATCATATCATTTAAAAAATGTATTTAGTACAGGGTCTGCAGAGTCTCATTACACAGACAGGATTCCTAGTGATCCTCCTGTTTTCAGCCTCCCAAGCACTGGGACTATAGGCACACACCACCATGCCACCATGCCCAGTCTCATTCAGTCTCAGCATGCCCCAGAGACAGAACTGGGGATTGAACTCAGGCCCTTGCGCTTGCCAGGGAAGCGCTTATTCCACAGAGCCATCTCCCCGGCCCCTAACCTATTTTTTCTTGATTATAACTATTTAAAATGAACATGAACTAATATTTATTTTTTGAACTAATATTTAAAATACAGAATATTCCTTAAAAATGGTCACCAATTATCTTTTTAAAAATATATATCCAAGAACATTGGACACCAGGTTTCTTGTGCTGCTAGGAAGAGGCTGCACAGCAAACTAGGGAGCAAGAAAGGGGAGACTCACTTTCTGCAGTCTGCATTATTATTTCATCAAGTTCTCTTTCCAATTTCTCATAAATGTCTAGTCTTGCTTGATGTTCAGAGTTCTGTGCTTGAAGTTCAGTAATGCGTTTTTCAGAAGAGGCTTGGAGGCTATAAAATTCTTTAGTTAAAACCTAATAGTGAAAGAAAACAATTATAGAATTAAGAACCAAATAGGTTCCCAGTTAAGACAAAAAGATGACACCAAGATATATTTAGGCCTCTGCATTTTATTTATTTAAATATTAAGAGAAAGTAGCTCAACAGAGATGACTAATGAGGAAATAAAATACATTTGTTTCTGAGGTAAACAGTTCAGTTGTTTTAAACTGAATTTTATGAAATACTTTAGCATTATTGTATGAACTAAATAAAAATGAATTTAAAACTCTGAAATAGTTAAAGGAGATGATTAGCAATTGCTTAGAATTTCTAAAAATGTAATTTTATACTTACCTGAGGTATTTTATCTAGTAATCACAGCTATTCAAGAAAGGCTTATAAAGCTGTAAAATGATCTACTCGTAAAGAGCCCTCTGAGCTTGTTGCATCTACCCTTTCCATGGTCTCAATAGCAGTTCTGGTTTTCTGAAGTCATAAATTTAGAGCAGCCAATCAAAAGGCAAATGTGAACTTTCTGCTTAAGGCAATATGAGAAAATGTCTTTGTGAAGAAAGAAAGGATTAAAAAAGTATTAAAAAGAGGTGCAAAAGGCAGGGAAATTGGAGCCCTTTGTGTAATAGAAAGAACCTCCAACATTCGTCAATGGTAACTCAATGCATGAATCACTATGATCATAATAAATTACCTGAAAAAGATGCTTCCCAGGATGATGGAATGTTTGAATACTTAAATTCCGATTGTTCAGAAAGTTTACTTACAAGCATTGACTCAATTATGACAGGTCACTACACCTATTTCCTAACAGCATAAGTAATGTTCTTTCCTTTTTTCTCTTTTCTGTAATACTGTTCTCTGAGAGGTGACCATATTACAGTTGAAAACATGATTGGAATTAGAAATTTTGGATTTTAATATAGCTTTGACCTTTACTAGTTGTGACCTTAGGCAATTAGTTACGTTTTCTAGACCTTCTTTATAACACTGTTGGAAGGGATAAATGAGATGATAAACTAATAGTGCTTAGCAGAGAATGCAGAACACTGAAAGTATTGAAAAGTAGTATTTCTATGACAACAAATATAATTATGAGAACTTTGTATGAAATAGCTTATGGAAATAGAGTTCCCCTGATTCAATTACCCAGAATTCATTAACTCTTCTGAGAACTTTTCTCTAATAACATAATGTGCACTTTAATATATGATTACGCACTTTCTGTGATGCTAGAAAAAAGATAAAGCATTATCCTCTACTCTTCAAATACATTCCTTTGGACAGTGGAAAAGAAAGAACATGGGAATATTGTTAGGATGATTTCTAGTGTCTCACTGGATCAGAAAAATGTAATTCATTTTTCTTTATTCATGCCACGCTGGCTAGGAATGTGATTTCTAGAATCTTGCTTATTTATTATAAGAAAACCCTTCTCACTAAATCAATCTCAGGTTTTCAAGGAGTCCATTACTTTGGGGTATAACTTAAAAATGAATCTCTGGGCTGATAACACTTCTTAATTCTACTTTTAAGACAGCCAGATGCAATGGAACATTCCAGTATGCCCAGCACTTTGGGAGGCTGAGCATAGAGGGCAGCAAGTTCAAGACCAACCAATTTAGTGAGACTGAGTTAAAATTTAAAAACAGGGCTGGCCATGAGGGTGGGGATGTAGCTCAGCACGAAGGTCCTGGGTTTAACCCTCCATGGAGACAGAGAGAAAATCAATCAGTACATCTTAAATCTGAACTTTACTCTCCCAATGAAAACAACAAAGAAAAACTGCAGACATGAATATCTAAAGAGATAAAGAGTAAAAATGTTGGTATATTTAATTTTGGTAAAAGGATGGCATATTTCATAAAATGTTATTTTAAGAAGATATTTAAAATATATTAAATTGAGCGATTACAACTTAACAATCTTTTCATAACATGGAGGAGAGAACTTCAAGAACTTCTGACTTAGAGATCCTCTCTTTATTATGGATTTGTCTCAGTGTCTTCGGGAATAAACTACTGTTTCTGGAAAGCCTAAGAAGAATGAAAGTACTGAACCTACGATAGATTACATTAAAGATTCTTTAGGAACAACCAATATAGGTGTTTAAACATGCAGACATCAAATAGGTCAATTATACTTTATGAGTTTATTAATCATAAAGTTCTCAAGTAGACCTTTTTTTTTCCTTTAAAAGGTTTATTAACTGAATAATAATATGAAATTGTAGGTCAATAAATGATTTAAAAAAGAAAATATATAAAGCTGGTATTTAGCAGACTTTGCTAATTGATAATTAAGCAAAATAACACATATCACCCTCAAGTTATAAATCAATGAGAATTCTGAGCGAAAGTCACAGAAAGTCCCATAATTTTTACCTCACATGAAATGATTTCTTTTATTTATTTATTTATTTATTGGTGATTGAACTCAGGCCCGAGCTTGCCAGGCAAGCACTTATTCTACTGAGCCATCTCCCCGGCTCCTCATGAAATGATTTCTAACTCCATTATAAACAAAAATCATCCATAATTCAAAAAATCTTTTTGAATGGTATTATATTAGTTTTAATCAAACCATACATTCATTCATTAAATGTTTATCAAGCTCTACCATGAGAGAAGCCCTGAGGACACAATGACAAATGAATAGTTCCTGTCATTCCAAGAGTTAGTTTAACAGAAGGTACAAAAATGTAAAGAATTTTTTTCCTGAAAGTTTGGTTTTGTATGTAGAGATTTTAGGTCACAGAATTTTTATAAGAGTGTTTGTCTACAAAAGACCTTTAAGCAAATGAATATAATAATTACTAGATTCCTGCATCCACAGACTTCAGTGGACAGACCTGTGGGAGAGTGGTTTTCAAACTGCGAATTACAACCTTTAGGAGGTTTGGTTACCAACCAATAAAAAGAGAAAGTTTGGAAAACATCAGCACCATAAGTATTGTTTGTGTTATAAAGTATTGTTTTGCAAAATGTTTTCAGAAGTACAGCAAGACAAGTACTTCTTTGCCTTTTGATATAAATAGCTTCTCCTATCCATCCCTTTTGTCTGAGGCCTAAAGACACATTCCTTAAAAAAATTTTTTTTTAAAAACTTTATTTGGTACAGGGTCTCACTACACAGCTCTTGTAGGGATCCTCCTGTTTCAGTCTCCCCAGCACTGGGATTACAGCCATGTGCCACCATGCCTCGTCTTGGTGGCTGGCATTGCACGTCAGGAGTGCCGGGGCTGGGATGGCATGCAGTACCAGGGATGGAACCTAGGTCCCTGAGCTTACCAGGCAGGTGCCTAGACCGCTGAACTATCTCCCCAGCCCCTAAGACACATTCTTAAGCACAGTGACTCAATTTGCAAAGGAAAAGGCATTTTACTAGGAATTATGAAAGTTAAGCCACAACTTGCAAGAGACAAACTCCAAATTAGAGCTAAACTGAGAAAAGTCTAACTGAAAATGTATAGTCACATTGCTGCTATAGACTGTTACTTTGTAGCATGTTCCTGAAAAGGACAAGAAAGTTTTAGCTGCTCAGCACTGATCTTGTTTAAAAGTAGTCACCACCTACAATTTCTGCTCATGAGCCTTAAAAATATACATATACCCACTGCCATGTTTAAGGTTTTTTTTGTCAAGGTTTTATTTTCTGAGGTCCATTTTCTTGCTAATTTTACTGAGTGTACTAAACAGTATTTTTCTAAAGTGTAATGTTTCAGGGATTTTGTAGTCAATACTTTTTATTATTTGAATATTGGTGGTTAAAAGCTATGGGAATTCAAGTCAAACTGGTCAGATTTGAGTTGTAATTACAGCAGTTCGGGTACTTACTAGATATGTGACCTTAAATAATATAACTTCAGTAAGGAAAAAAAAAAGTAGAAATAAAATATAAACCTTACTCATAGCCTATCAATCAATTACAACTATTACTGACTTTTATGGTATTTCTTCAAACTCTGCCTCCATACATTGAAAAAAATGTAGTGCATGTGGTTGTGTAAAGGGCTGTTTTCACCTGCTATTATAACAGTGTACTTTTCATGTTACTACGTGGTCATAAAATATTAGCTAGGCCCCTCCGCTCATAATTTTTTCTTTTTATGGAATTTTAGTTTTCAGATTTTTTGCTCTTATATTCCAATGTGTATCTGTGCATTAAGCTTTTACATATTTAAGAGAAATCCTTATGAATATAATTACCAAATTGTTTTTCAAAACCAATATACTCTTTTTTTTCTTTTTTTGAGATAAGAGTCTTGCTATGTAACTTAGGCTGGCCTTGAACTCACTATGCAGCCCAGGCTGGCCTCAAACTCATAGCATCTTCCTGTCTAGCCTTCTGAGTATGGAAGATTATAGACATGCAGCACTATACCTCTCAATACACTCATTTAGGATGTACAAATCAAGGTAGTTTTGAGAGAATAGTTGAATGGAAATAGTTAAAAAGAAGTATTTTGACATTAACATATATACAGCACATGTATTTCCAGATTACAGAAATAGCTGTGTTGTATGACCATTAACCTATAATGAAATTGCTTTGCATTGTAATTTGGATAAAAAGTTCTAATATTTGACAAGTTTTAAATTGGAAAAGGCTTTTATTTTTTATTTTCTTTTTGGTGGAACCAGGGATTGAACTCAGGCCCTCGTGCTTGTCAGGGAAGCACTTATTCTACTAAGCCATCTCCACAGCTCCTGGAAAAGGCTTTTAATTGGCTATTTTAATTTCTTTGCCTCTTAGCTTCTGGGTTTTTTTTTGTTTTTTTTTTTTTGGATTTTAGGGAAGGATCTACAGGGTGTTCAGGGTCTCACTATTAGATCAGACTCTAGTGATCCGCCTATTTACAGCCTTCCAACAACTAGGATTACAGGCGTGTGCTACCACGCCCAGTCCCAACTGCTGTCTCAGTGTGCCCCGGGGGTGGGGCCAGCATAGTAGGCCCGGGGATTGAACCCATGACCCCTGTACCTGCTTGTAGGCGCTTTAATCCACTGAGCTATTTGGC